ACCCCAAAACCCCAAAACCCCAAAACCCCAAAACCCCATAAGATTAGTAATATTGAATTGTTTGAATTATTATTTTAACAAAATGAGTAAACTAAGTTCACTTATCGAGTCCAACACATTCAGCCCGGAGGCTTCTGAATGCAGTACCAACGAAGGTATCAGTGCCTCCACAATGCCTATCCCCCAATTCATCTCTGGCCTCCGTCGCTTCAACACAAAGCAACCTCTGGAGAATGGATCTGAAATCCCCAAAATCCTAAGCACTCCTTCCAAATGCTCGACTGGGCCTCTTCCGAAATTGTTGTGCGAAGCTTCTCAGACCCAGCCGACTCAAGCCAGCAGCTGAGGCTCTCGAAGGCCTTCGGTCAACGCTGCAGATTGTCAAGGAGAGGCATTGATTCATGAGTCTTCCTTCTGGGTCTGAACAGATACACAGACTGAAGATGACGAAAATAGAAACATAAGTCTGTCAGAGAGGAAACATCGAGTCTACAAGCCCTTGAGCATCCAGCAAAAAGTATGTGAATAATGCTGAAGATAGTATTTTAAACCAAACTTTCCATTCTGAAATTTTCGAATGAAATTTCCAGTTCCTCTTTGATTCATCAACCGTAGCTTTGTATCCTGAGATATTGTATTCATGTTACGTCTAGAGAGCAGATGTATTTCAGGTGTCAAGGAATCCAAGTAAAATTGAAATACTCCTGAAAATGGATACGAGGCATTCGACTCCGGTGAAACCTGCTTGGTGAGAAACAGAGAATCTAACTTCGTTTGAAGCTTTTGAAGAGTCTTGATGTCACCATCCAAGGCCATCAAACACTCCATTCAAACACTGAGAGGGTCTATGGCCTGCTGGCAAGCCTCTTGAAGTTAAACAGCAAGTTGAGATATCTGACCTTGACAAACAAATCTTCAATCTCAAGAAACAGGCTTGAGAACTAGTACATAAAATTGATCAATTAACCGATGAAAACTCTCAGCTCACTGGTGAGTTCAACTCTTTATTATATAACAAACTTTAACTCGGACTCTTCGGTTCTGAAGTTGCAACCTGAATATGGAATTTCATTAGCTGTTGGCTCGATAGTATAAGCGTTGCCAATTGTGTCTGTGACTTTAAAGTGTTTCACTAAATCCCTTCAAGGTTATCTCCGTCCATATCCTAAAATACACCTTAAAGCTGAAACCATTGGATCTTAAAATCCGATTCTGAAACGCTTTATGTTCAAAATATTTTTCTGAATATTTCTTGAGGCGACATCATCCAGATATTTCAATCATTTTTATATCTATTGGGGTTTTGGGGTTTTGGGGTTTTGGGGTTTTGGGG